TTGAAGTGTTTTCTTGTACGTTTAAGCCAATCAGATACCCAACGGGCTCGGAAAGAGCAAAGAAACCATCAAATTTTAGCTAGAAACTGTATTTTTGTCGATTTTTATTGAATTTGAACAATATTTCAAAATGTTTTGATGGTTCTGAGCCACGAAACACACTTAACGCATGCAGAATCGCCTCAGATTAGGAAAAGGAGACGTTTAAGTCAATTTTATGCATTCTGGCGTTCGTAGATACAAGAAAATTGGTAAAATTCTTCAGAAACGTCACTTTTGAAGTGTTTTCTCGTACTTTTAAGCCAATCAGATACTCCACGGGCACGGAAAGAGCAAAGAAACCATCAAATTTTAGCTAGAAACTGTATTTTTGTCGATTTTTATTGAATTTGAACTATATTTCAACATTTTTGGATAGTTCTGAGCCACGAAACACACTTAAAGCATGCAGAATCGTCTCAAATTAGGAAAAGGAGACGTTTAGGTCAATTTTATGCATTCTGGCGTTCGTAGATACAAGAAAATTGGTAAAATTCTTCAGAAACATCACTTTTGAAGTGTTTGCTTGTACTTTTAACCCAATCAGATGCCCGACGGGCTCGGAAAGAGCAAAGAAACCATCAAATTTTAGCTAGAAACTGTATTTTTGTCGATTTTTATTGAATTTGAACTATATTTCAACATTTTTTGATGGTTCTGAGCCACGAAACACACTTAAAGCATGCAGAATCGTCTCAGATTAGGAAAAGGAGACGTTTAGGTCAATTTTATGCATTCTGGCGTTCGTAGATACAAGAAAATTGGTAAAATTCTTCAGAAACGTCACTTTTGAAATGTTTTCTTCTACTTTTAAGCCAATCAGATACCCAACGGGCTCGGAAAGAGCAAAGAAACCATCAAATTTTAGCTAGAAACTGTATTTTTGTCGATTTTTATTGAATTTGAACTATATTTCAACATTTTTTGATGGTTTTGAGCCACGAAACACACTTAAAGCATGCAGAATCGTCTCAGATTAGGAAAAGTAGACGTTTAGGTCAATTTTATGCATTCTGGCGTTCGTAGATACAAGAAAATTGGTAAAATTCTTCAGAAACGTCACTTTTGAAGTGTTTTCTTGTACTTTTAAGCCAATCAGATACCCTACGGGCTCGGAAAGAGCAAAGAAACCATCAAATTTTAGCTAGAAACTGTATTTTTGTCGATTTTTATTGAATTTGAACTATATTTCAACATTTCTTGATGGTTCTGAGCCACGAAACACACTTAAAGCATGCAGAATCCACTCAGATTAGGAAAAGGAGACGTTTAGGTCAATTTTATGCATTCTTGCGTTCGTAGATACAAGAAAATTGGTAAAATTCTTCAGAAACGTCACTTTTGAAGTGTTTTCTTGTACTTTTAAGCCAATCAGATACCGTAAGGGCTCGGAAAGAGCAAAGAAACCATCAAATTTTAGCTAGAAATTGTATTTTTGTCGATTTTAATTGAATTTGAACTATATTTCAACATTTTTTGATGGTTCTGAGCCACGAAACACACTTAAAGCATGCAGAATCGTCTCAGATTAGGAAAAGGAGACGTTTAGGTCAATTTTATGCATTCTGGCGTTCGTAGATACAAGAAAATTGGTAAAATTCTTCAGAAACGTCACTTTTGAAGTGTTTTTTTGTACTTTTAAGCCAATCAGATACCCAACGGGCTCGGAAAGAGCAAAGAAACCATCAAATTTTAGCTAGAAACTGTATTTTTGTCGATTTTTATTGAATTTGAACTATATTTCAACATTTTTTGATGGTTCTGAGCCACGAAACACACTTAAAGCATGCAGAATCGTCTCAGATTAGGAAAAGGAGACGTTTAGGTCAATTTTATGCATTCTGGCATTCGTAGATACAAGAAAATTGGTAAAATTCTTCAGAAACGTCACTTGTGAAGTGTTTTCTTGTACGTTTAAGCCAATCAGATACCCAACGGTCTCGGAAAGAGCAAAGAAACCATCAAATTTTAGCTAGAAACTGTATTTTTGTCGATTTTTATTGAATTTGAACTATATTTCAATATTTTTTTATGGTTCTGAGCCACGAAACAAACTTAAAGCATGCAGAATCGTCTCTGATTAAGAAAAGGAGACGTTTAGGTCAATTTTATGCATTCTCGCGTTCGTAGATACAAGAAAATTGGTAAAATTCTTCAGAAACGTCACTTTTGAAGTGTTTTCTTGTACTTTTAACCCAATCAGATGCCCGACGGGCTCGGAAAGAGCAAAGAAACCATCAAATTTTAGCTAGAAACTGTATTTTTGTCGATTTTTATTGAATTTGAACTATATTTCAACATTTTTTGATGGTTCTGAGCCACCAAACACACTTAAAGCATGCAGAATCGTCTCAGATTAGGAAAAGGAGACGTTTAGGTCAATTTTATGCATTCTGGCGTTCGTAGATACAAGAAAATTGGTAAAATTCTTCAGAAACGTCACTTTTGAAGTGTTTTCTTGTACTTTTAAGCCAATCAGATACCCTACGGGCTCGGAAAGAGCAAAGAAAGCAGTCTTGGTATGATGTCGCAGAATAAAGACGTGTCTCCGGGTCTCCCCGTATTACCATGTAAAAAGTGCAAAATTTTGCCGGTAGCTGGTCTCACATGTATTAAATGTGGGTCACTAAGCCACCCTAGCTGTGTTAAACTACTAAAAAACGTAAAAACAATAAGTGAAACGCGTATTAATTGTTGTGATAATAGTGATAACTTTGATAATAGTGTTCTTCAATCGCAACCAGATGAATTACTTATCCCGCAATCACAGTTCGAAATTCTTATTACAAAGGCAATAGAGCCACTGCTTATGCAAATTGAATCGTTACGAAATGATGTACGTAATCTCAAAGAAAGCAATGTGGAATTGGTAAGGTTGTTAACATGTCCCTCAATGGTGAATAGTCAACAGATGCAACAGTTGAAATCTTATTATGTCACAAACTCTGAAAAGAGCAGCAATTTTTCTGAGTCTGAAGTCAGTGCTCCTAAAAACCCTGTACTTTCACACACTAAAAATGTGTACAGAGTTGGTAAAAAGTATGTAAATACTAGAGACAAAAAAGCAACAGCTGATAATCCAACACAAGACATTATGGGTTCATCGTCCCGTGACAAACCGAAGGATAAAATTGTCTATAATGATGTTCAAGATGATGACTGGGTTGTGCAACGTCGTTCTCATAAATCCGGACGAAGGAAGGCTCCCACAATAGTTGGTACTTTAAAAAATGTTAATGAGTGTGGTGAACTTCGCTCTAGTTACGTAAAGAGGGCATGGTTCTATGTAGGGAAAGTCGTTAAGGGCACTGAAGCCTCAGTTGTCAAACAGTACGTCCGTAACAAGCTCTCATCTAATGATATGGTTGTTGAGAATATCTCTGTCAATGGGATCTATGAAGCCTTCAAATTAGGAGTTCCATTTGAATACAAGGATTTGGTTTTAAAGGAAGATTTCTGGCCACAGGGTGTTAGCATTAGACGTTTTAATTTCCCTAAAAATTCTTTTTTAGGAGGAAAACAGCCGCAAATAAGTGCCAAAAACCTAAACTTGCCAATCCCTTAGTGTATTATCAAAACGTAAGGGGCTTAAAGACAAAATTGAATGATTTCTACTGTGCCGTCCTCTCTGAGGAATATCCTATTATTGTTCTTACAGAAACTTGGTTATCTGATGATATTATTAGTACATCTGTTTTTGATGATCGCTATATAGTCTTTCGTACTGACAGGAATGCTATTAATAGTGTCAAAAGTCATGGAGGCGGTGTATTAATAGCGGTTAACAAATATTTAAAATCTAGTCAAATAATGCTCAATGACTCCTTGGTGGAAGAGCTGTGGGTCAAAATTTGTTCTGAATCTAGTACCTTAATAGTAGGTTGTGTTTATTTACCTCCTAATTGCGATTTTTCAAAACTTGTTAGTCATATAAATTCACTACATTTTGTTTGTGATCAATCATGTGATGATAATATGATTATTATTGGTGATTTTAATCTACCTAATATTGAATGGAAGATTGTTGATGATAATTTTGGCTTTGTACCCTTTGATCTCAGTGATGAACGCTCATCTTATATTTGTGATCATTATGCTTCTCTAGGTTTTAGTCAATTTAATAATTTTAAAAATAATTGTAATCATGTTTTAGATTTATGTTTTTATAATGTATCAACTATTGAGTTGCAATTATGTAATCCTTTAATTAGGCCTGATCCGAGTCACCCTACTTTTATTGTTATTATTGATAATTTTCTTGCATGTGACTATAGTTATTATTTTGAATATTTCTATGATTTCAATAATGTTAGTTACAATAGAGTTTTAAATTTTTTGATGTCCATTGATTGGAATCAAGTCCTTACTAGTAATGATGTTAATGTAGCTGTCGAAACTTTTTATATGTACATATATGAAGCTTGTCATTTGTTTGTTCCCTTTAAAAGGAAATTTGTAAATAATTTGTTTCCTCCATGGTTCTCGAAATCTTTGATTTCTCTCATAAGGGAAAAAAAAATAGTGCATAAACGTTTTAAAATGTATAATCGTAATTGTGATCTCCTAACTTTTGAAGCTCTTAGGAAACGTTGTAAATCTGAAATTAAGATTGCTCATAGTATATATTTAGCTGGCATTGAAAATCATCTCAAGTCTAATCCCAAAAATTTTTGGAAATTTGTTAGCAAAAAATCTAAACTTAATTATACACCTTCGCCTATGTTATCTCAGGACTTGCATATTTTAAGTGATGATAAAACCATCTGTGAAGCATTTAATGAATACTTCTTTACTGCATTTGATTTCAATAATTTTGTGAAATGTACTTTGCTACCTGATAAGTCTGTTAATGTTGGATCTATTTCTGTTAGTTTTATTGAAATTGAAAATGCTCTTAATAAGTTAGACGTCAATAAGGGACCCGGGCCTGATGGACTGCCACCTAAATTTTTAAAAATGTGTCATGAAGCTCTTGTCTTGCCTTTGCAAATTTTATTTAATCTTTCTCTTTCATCAGGAGTCTTCCCTGATACATGGAAACACGCGTTTGTAGTCCCAGTATACAAAAACGGTGCTAGAAATCGTATCAATAATTACCGTCCAATTTCGTTGTTATCTACTATAAGTAAACTGTTTGAATCTATTGTGTTAGAGAAACTATTTCCTTTGTTTAAATCTGTATTTTCTCCATGTCAGCATGGGTTCTTTCCAAAGCGCTCTGTAATCACTAATCTATTTCATTATGTAAATTCTATTCTTGAATCCATGGGTAATGGTCTGGAGGTTCACGCCGTCTATAGTGATTTTTGTAAGGCATTTGACAAAGTCAGTCATTATATTTTAGTACAAAAATTAGCTGCTTACGGAGTCTTTGACCCTCTCCTTAAATGGTTTGGTAGTTATCTGGATAGTAGAACTCAGCAGGTTAAAATTAAAAGTATCTTATCTGACAAACGATGTGTGCCTTCGGGGGTTCCTCAAGGATCTATTTTGGGACCATTTCTGTTCTGTTTATTTATCAATGATGTTGGAAAGAATTTTAAATGCAATTACAGTTTATTTGCTGACGACTTGAAAATTTTTTTTAATATTAATAGTACCAGTGACTGTGAATTAATGCAAGCAGATCTTAACAGTTTATATCGTTGGTGTGTTGAGAATAGCATGAATTTAAACTTGGAAAAATGTTACAGTATATGCTTTACTCGGAAAAAAAATAAATCGATTCCTCGTTACTTAATTAACAATAATGTTTTAAAATCTGGGCCCTGTGTTAAGGATCTCGGTATATTTCTTGATAGTCAGCTGAATTTCTCTTTTCATATTGATCATGTTATTAACAAAGCAAGTAAGGTACTGGGATGCATCAAAAGGTATTCAAGAGACTTCCTTGATTTTACAACTATTGTTCATTTATATAAAACTTTAGTCGTACCCATTATTGACTATGGATGTATAATTTGGGCTCCACATTACAAAACTCACCTGGAGCGTATTGATTCGATATTAAAAAATTTTTTACATTTTGTCAAGTTTAGATTACCTTCAAATATAAATTGCTCTCTAGAGCTTATGCTGTCTTACCTTCATTTGTCTACCTTTTGTACTAGGAAAACTTATTTTAGTATTTGCTTCATTTATAAACTGCTTAATAACCTTATTGATGTGCCTGATCTACTTAACATGATCAAATTTAGAGTGCCCCAACATCTGACTAGGATTAAGTCTCTATTTTATATTGATTTTGCCGCAACTAATTATCTTAAAGCTTCACCTTTACATGAAATTTTGAATGTTTCTAACTTATATTACAATGAAATTGATTTCTTTTGTTATGCTTCATTTAACTCTTTTAAACATAAATTACGAATTCTTCTTCTTATGTAGGTAATTATAGGTGTGTGTATTTTTTACTCTATGTATCCTCCTTCTTTGTAAATCCATGTACTTAAAGCTATTTTGGCGTTGAAATAAAGTATTATTATTATTATTAAAGAAACCATCAAATTTTAGCTAGAAACTGTATTTTTGTCGATTTTAATTAAATTTGAACTATATTTCAACATTTTTGGATGGTACTGAGCCACGAAACACACTTAAAGCATGCAGAATCGTCTCAGATTAGGAAAAGGAGACGTTTAGGTCAATTTTATGCATTCTGGCGTTCGTAGATACAAGAAAGTTGGTAAAATTCTTCAGAAACGTCACTTTTGAAGTGTTTTCTTGTACTTTTAAGCCAATCAGATACCCTACGGGCTCGGAAAGAGCAAAGAAACCATTAAATTTTAGCTAGAAACTGTATTTTTGTCGATTTTTATTGAATTTGAACTATATTTCAACATTTTTTGATGGTTCTGAGCCACGAAACACACTTAAAGCATGCAGAATCGTCTCAGATTAGGAAAAGGAGACGTTTAGGTCAATTTTATGCATTCTGGCGTTCGTAGATACAAGAAAATTGGTAAAATTCTTCAGAAACGTCACTTTTGAAGTGTTTTCTTGTACTTTTAAGCCAATCAAATACCCTACGGGCTCGGAAAGGGCAAAGAAACCATCAAATTTTAGCTAGAAACTGTATTTTTGTCGATTTTTATTGAATTTGAACTATATTTCAACATTTTTTGAAGGTTCTGAGCCACGAAACACACTTAAAGCATGCAGAATCGTCTCAGATTAGGAAAAGGAGACGTTTAGGTCAATTTTATGCATTCTGGCATTCGTAGATACAAGAAAATTGGTAAAATTCTTCAGAAACGTCACTTTTGAAGTGTTTTCTTGTAATTTTAAGCCAATCAGATATTCTACGGGCTCGGAAAGAGCAAAGAAACCATCAAATTTTAGCTAGAAACTGTATTTTTATCGATTTTTATTGAATTTGAACTATATTTCAACATTTTTTGATGGTTCTGAGCCACGAAACACACTTAAAGCATGCAGAATCGTCTCAGATTAGGAAAAGGAGACGTTTAGGTCAATTTTATGCATTCTGGCGTTCGTAGATACCAGAAAATTGGTAAAATTCTTCTGAAACGTCACTTTTGAAGTGTTTTCTTGTACTTTTAAGCCAATCAGATATTCTACGGGCTCGGAAAGAGCAAAGAAACCATCAAATTTTAGCTAGAAACTGTATTTTTGTCGATTTTTATTGAATTTGAACTATATTTCAATATTTTTTGATGGTTCTGAGCCACGAAACACACTTAAAGAATGCAGAATCGTCTCAGATTAGGAAAAGGAGACGTTTAGGTCAATTTTATGCATTCTGGCGTTCGTAGATACAAGAAAATTGGTAAAATTCTTCAGAAACGTCACTTTTGAAGTGTTTTCTTGTACTTTTAAGCCAATCAGATACCCTACGGCCTCGGAAAGAGCAAAGAAACCATCAAATTTTAGCTAGAAACTGTATTTTTGTCGATTTTTATTGAATTTGAACTATATTTCAACATTTTTTGATGGTTCTTAGCCACGAAACACACTTAAAGCACGGAGAATCGTCTCAGATTAGGAAAAGGAGACGTTTAGGTCAATTTTATGCATTCTGGCATTCGTAGATACAAGAAAATTGGTAAAATTCTTCAGAAACGTCACTTTTGAAGTGTTTTCTTGTACTTTTAAGCCAATCAAATACCCTACGGGCTCGGAAAGAGCAAAGAAACCATCAAATTTTAGCTATAGACTGTATTTTTGTCGATTTTTATTGAATTTGAACTATATTTCAACATTTTTTGATGGTTCTGAGCCACGAAACACACTTAAAGCATGCAGAATCGTCTCAGATTAGGAAAAGGAGACGTTTAGGTCAATTTTATGCATTCTGGCTTTCGTAGATACAAGAAAATTGGTAAAATTCTTCAGAAACGTCACTTTTGAAGTGTTTTCTTGTAGTTTTAAGCCAATCAGATACCCGACGGGCTCGGAAAGAGCAAAGAAACCATCAAATTTTAGCTAGAAACTGTATTTTTATCGATTTTTATTGAATTTGAACTATATTTCAACATTTTTTGATGGTTCTGAGCCACGAAACACACTTAAAGCATGCAGAATCGTCTCAGATTAGGAAAAGGAGACGTTTAGGTCAATTTTATGCATTCTGCCGTTCGTAGATACAAGAAAATTGGTAAAATTCTTCAGAAACGTCACTTTTGAAGTGTTTTCTTGTACTTATAAGCCAATCAGATACCCTACGGCCTCGGAAAGAGCAAAGAAACCATCAAATTTTAGCTAGAAACTGTATTTTTGTCGATTTTTATTGAATTTGAACTATATTTCAACATTTTTTGATGGTTCTGAGCCACGAAACACATTTAAAGCATGAAGAATCGTCTCAGATTTGGAAAAGGAGACGTTTAGGTCAATTTTATGCATTCTGGCGTTCGTAGATACAAGAAAATTGGTAAAATTCTTCAGAAACGTCACTTTTGAAGTGTTTTCTTGTACTTTTAAGCCAATCAGATACCCTACGGGCTCGGAAAGAGCAAAGAAACCATCAAATTTTAGCTAGAAACTGTATTTTTGTCGATTTTTATTGAATTTGAACTATATTTCAACATTTTTTGATGGTTCTGAGCCACGAAACACACTTAAAGCACGGAGAATCGTCTCAGATTAGGAAAAGGAGACGTTTAGGTCAATTTTATGCATTCTGGCATTCGTAGATACAAGAAAATTGTTAAAATTCTTCAGAAACGTCACTTTTGAAGTGTTTTCTTGTACTTTTAAGCCAACCAGATATTCTACGGGCTCGGAAAGAGCAAAGAAACCATCAAATTTTAGCTAGAAACTGCATTTTTGTCGATTTTTATTGAATTTGAACTATATTTCAACATTTTTTGATGGTTCTGAGCCACGAAACACACTTAAAGCACGGAGAATCGTCTCAGATTAGGAAAAGGAGACGTTTAGGTGAAATTTATGCATTCTGGCATTCGTAGATACAAGAAAATTGGTAAAATTCTTCAGAAACTTCACTTTTGAGGTGTTTTCTTGTACTTTTAAGCCAATCAGATACCCAACGGGCTCGGAAAGAGCAAAGAAACCATCAAATTTTAGCTATAAACTGTATTTTTGTCGATTTTTATTGAATTTGAACCATATTTCAACATTTTTTGATGGTTTTGAGCCACGAAACACACTTAAAGCATGCAGAATCGTCTCAGATTAGGAAAAGGAGACGTTTAGGTCAATTTTATGCATTCTGGCTTTCGTAGATACAAGAAAATTGGTAAAATTCTTCAGAAACGTCACTTTTGAAGTGTTTTCTTGTACTTTTAAGCCAATCAGATACCCTACGGGCTCGGAAAGAGCAAAGAAACCATCAAATTTTAGCTAGAAACTGTATGTTTGTCGATTTTTATTGAATTTGAACTATATTTCAGCATTTTTTGATGGTTCTGAGCCACGAAACACATTTAAAGCATGAAGAATCGTCTCAGATTTGGAAAAGGAGACGTTTAGGTCAATTTTATGCATTCTGGCGTTCGTAGATACAAGAAAATTGGTAAAATTCTTCAGAAACGTCACTTTTGAAGTGTTTTCTTGTACTTTTAAGCCAATCAGATACCCAACGGGCTCGGA